CCCCAAAACCCCAAAACCCCAAAACCCCGAGGGTATGCCTATAGTTACAAATTTGTAAAAAATTTACTTTAAATATATTAAAATGAGATCTTTCAAAACTTTACTTTCAAAAAAGAATACTTTAATCAAATAACATACTTTATCCTAACTTAAGACTCCAAATTTAGCATGCTCCTCACAGGCTGCCTTACATTTTAAATACTAGGAAAGAAATCAGAGTCATAAACAAAAATTTAATTACTTTGGTGGAATTAAATATGGGTTATTATTTAGTGGGATACTATACCATTAATAGTAAAAACTTGTCAATGCTGTCAATGCTGAGCCAGATTATGAGGAAGTTGAAATTTAGAATGCTAATGATATCCATAACGGAGAAATTAGAGAAATGATAACTCCTAACTTAAAGAAAATTGTAATAACTAAGTTTTAGGATAGACTATATGCTGTTGGCGGGACTTGTCCTCATTAGGGGGCATCATTAAGTTCTGGCATGATTTTTCAAGATAAAATTATCTGTCCTTGGCACGGAGCTACATTTGACATTAAAAGTGGAGCTCTTGAATAATATCCCAGTGTAGATGGGATCCCATCTTTCGAAATAGTCACAAAAAATGACAAGCACTATGCGAAAATCCCATCAAACTTTAGTGATAGGAAGATTCCAACATTTGTAAAGCGAGACGTAACTAATAATGAAAGATACGTCATCATAGGAGGAGGCCCAGCAGGATTGAGCTGTGCAGAAACTCTTAGATAATCTGGATTTACAGGAGAGATTATGATTGTATCTGCAGAGGATGTACTAACTTATGATAGAACCCAGCTCACTAAAAACCTTACAAGGCTTGATGTGAATGATATATTTATTAGAACTTAAGAGTATCTTGATAAGGCAGATATAAATTTTAAGCTTGGACTAAAAGTAAATAAACTTGATATTGGTGAGAAAACTATATATCTAAGCAATTAAGAAGCAATAAAATATGACAAGATATGTATTGCGACTGGAGCCAATCCATTCAAACCACCTATTCCTGGAATAAATTTAGAAAATGTTTTAGTCCTCAGAACTAACAAAGATTAAGAGGAAATTAAGAAAAGATTAGCATCTGGATAAATTAAAAACTTAGTTATAATGGGCACAGGTTTTATTGGTTCCGAAGCGGCTGCTTCATTAAAAACAAAATATGAAGATGAAATGAATATAGAGGTTATTAGTATGGAGAGTGTTCCATTAGAGAGATAATTTGGAAAAGTAGTCGGCCAAGTGATTTATGACCAACATATTAAGCATGATGTCAAAATGCATATGAATAGAAAAGTAGTCAACATTGAAGGAGATGGTAAGAATGCGAATTAAATTGTCTTAGACGATGGAACTATTATTGATTGTGATTTGATATTGATAGGTGCTGGAGTTTTTCCTTCAACTAACTTTTTAAAGGATACTGAAGTCAAAATGGATAGATTCGGAGGAATTATCTGTGATCCATTCCTTGAAAGCTCGGTCAAAGGTGTTTATTCTGCAGGAGATGCTGCCAGTTTTCCATATTGGCCGACAGGCTAAAGAGTTAGAATGGAACATTGGGGAACAGCATAAGATCAAGGTTCTCATGCAGCTTTTAATATGTTAAATAAAAGTGTTCCTTATGGGAATATTCCTTTCTTATGGACATTTCACTATGGCCATTATATTTAATATGTGGGATATGCTTTTGAGTTTGACGAAGTTTACGTCTAGGGAAATCTTGAGGATTAAGATTTCCTAGCATATTACATAAAGGATGATAGAATTTTAGCAGTTGCTGGTGAGTCAAGGCCATTAGAAATTGTGACCTATTTGGAAGCAATGCAGTAAAATATTATGCCTTCTGCTTCAGATATTAAATCAGGAAAGGAGACTGTAGAAACTATCAGAAAGAAGCTCTAGGCTATACCAGGCAGTAGATGCTCAAGAGAATCTTGTTGCAACAAGTAACCATCAACACTTTGACTCATAACTTACGCTATATCTTACTAAACAAAATCTTAATTTCATAATTACTTTATAATAAGTATATAACTTACCTCTAAGTTCTTTGGGGTTTTGGGGTTTTGGGGTTTTGGGGTTTTGGGGTTTTGGGG